GGTTCCTTTTCTTTTTTTCATTGCGTTCCCTGTTCGTTTATTTTTCGTTCGACGGATAAAAAGGAGAGGAAAAAGCTTCTCGCGCATCCGAGGAGGATATTAATTATTACTTTTTACTAATCGTATGTAGGAAGTTACACGCTGATTACTCTTACTCGATTTTATCAACCGTAACGAAGTACGATTGCTAAGTATCTGTTTATCGATAATAATAATTATTATTATTATTACTATTATTATTATTATTATTATTATTATTATTATTATCTCTGCACACCTGCGGTCTTCTTGAAGAAAACAAGTATAGTAAGTAATCCTAACGAATTCAAGGATATTCTTCTTATAGTCGTATCGAATTTTCCAGGCCCTTGCTTACTTTTCTTTGTTTCACTATGTACAACGCTATAATTGTATTTATTTCACGGCAAGACTCGTACCATATAACATATATACATGCATACGTACGTACACACACCTTGCAAAGAGAACGTTGCAAACCCACACACACGAACACACATGCACGCATACACACGCTCACTCATACAGAGAGAAAACATACTCACGATTTCCTCTTACGTTTCCGGAGATAAAGAGTTCTGTTCTTCGTCGTTTGGTGTGAGTAAAATCGCATTGTTTGTATCGTATCGTATTCGTCATAAGTAGCCCTTTTGTACTCTGGCATTAATTAATAAAATTTTGTAAGCAACAGTCCGACGGAACCTTGTTTGTCCATCCTGCACGAACGGTTACGGAAAGTGAGAGAGAGAGAGAGTGTGTGTGTTTGATGATGTTTAAAGACACCTGGTACTATTTCGATGAATTTTATTATCAAAATACACGTATGCTTGTATCAAACACTGTTCGAGAAAAATACAACGTAATAAAATAAATACATATACAGTGTAATAAGGACAACGGAATACTGTAGTGTAAATAATTATAAATTATGAAATACGTCAACGTGCTTCAGTGAAATTGCTGCTTCAGATCTGCTGTAATATTCGAGTCTCGAGTTCCTACATCGCCGCAATTAAGTTTCTTATTTCAGGTCCATTCGCTTTGCACAGGGACGCGAACAGGTGTTTCTCGTTCGTTTCCAATTCGAGCTTCTTCGATATCTCGTGCGCCCTACTTGTAATTACAGGCGGCACGCCGGCCAACCGAGCCGCGTTGAAGCCGTACGACTTTGGACAAGCACCCTCGCTGAGCTTATACAAGAACGTTACCGTCTCCTGAGACACTTCGTCCTCTTCTTCGTTCTCCACCATGCATGCCTGCGAACATTTTCAGATACATGCGTGAGTTTAGAAAAATAAATATGTACAGAGAAAAATGAAACGAATTTGTAACGTGACAGCAGTACCATGTGCGCTAAAGTGACATCCTTATTCGTTTTGTAGTCTTCCACCAGAGAATGGTAATGGGTAGAAAATAATGTCCGGCATTTCAATTTTGTAAGCGCATCTACCACCGCCGCAGCTATCGCGGTCCCATCGTAAGTCGACGTTCCACGTCCTAGGAAACATGGAATACGTTACATTCGCTGGTTCAATGATTTCCATATTAAATCAGGATTCAAGATGTCCTCACCTAATTCATCCAACAACACTAGCGAGTATGGCGAAGCGTGTTGTAGTATGGCAGCAGTTTCGCTCAACTCTACCAGGAATGTACTCTGACCGGCCAGAATGTCATCGTTTGCTCCTAATCGTGTGAAAATACGATCTACCAGTGTTAGCCGGCAGGAGCTAGCAGGTACATAGCTTCCCTGAAAGCGAAGGAATTAGTTATTTGTACTGAAGCCATTGCGCTATTGATTTCATAGGAATGAAACATACTATTTGTGCCATAATCGTGAGAAGCGCAATCTGTCTCATTAACGTGGATTTACCACCCATGTTTGGACCTGTTAGAATCATAAACGGAGCAGAATCTTCAACAGCCAATAAAGTATCGTTCGGTATGAAATTGTCCGATATTATGCATGGATGTCTTCCTTCTCTGATATCAATGTATATCTGTAAAAGATAAAGTGTTCAAATATATATTCTTATCATGTATCCTTGTAAACGAGATAAAATATTTGTTAAAAATGTACATTTCCATTCGAGCCATCGTCGATTTCCGGTATGCACATGTCACCGCTGAGAGCATACTCCGCTAGGGAAATGAGAACATCCAAGATGGACAACTTGTAAACTGCCATATTCCACATGTCATATTTTTCACTGAATTTAGCGAATATCCTTCTGTTCAAATCTTTCAGCACTCTATCTTTATGTTCCTCGGCATTTATTTGTCGGCTCAGGAGTTCCTGGTAGTATTTCGTTCCATTAATATCACAGTTTGACAGTTTTTATAGAAATTTATTAATAGTTTGCATACCTTTCCTTCAGCAGTATAATATCGTTTAAATCCTTTCCTCTGCGACTGCAGCTCGTATCCGGAACCAACCTTCTTCACTTGTGACTCGGGAATCTCGATTTGATAACGCTTTTTATCACTCCCATGGAACGTGACTTTCACACCGAAGTGTTGCCTTTGTTTCTCAAGATACCGTTCCAAGTCCTTCTTTACTTCTGCGAGCTCCATTAAAACGGAATCGTACTCTTCGTCCACTCCTTTCTTTGGAACGATGCAGCCTTCCCTTTTCGCCTCATCGTGATCGAATGCAGTCTAGAATACATATTATATAGTACCCGGTTTAACGTCTTTCATCATAAATGATACTTACCTTGAAGTAATCCAATGTTTCTCTTAGCGATGGGAACTCGCCATCCGGTTCTACTTTAGTGCAATTAATCACTAAACAACTGTTGAAATCTAAAATATTCAAATATTTTTCAGTTCTCAGGATATTAATTTCTAACTACGTACACGTAAAAACAATATGAACCTTCGAATAAAGCAACTATTCTTAGAACATCTTCAAAGCTGTTGAGCGTGGTGATGAAGTCAACAATCCGCTTCTTAGAATATATGTGACCCTCGAACATGATTGCTCTGCCATCAGGATGATTGTTCATTTTAGCTGGATTTCCGTGTGCATGAATTCTAAAAGAAATGTAAAATAAATATTCGAATTGATTACTTCCTATATACGTTTACGATTCTACTTACTTGCTCAACAATCTTTCAAGATCTGGAAGACCAGCTAACAGACTACGAGCAGTCTGCACTGCTTCGGAACGATCCATTAGTTCTTGTACAGCTTCTTGCCGTTGCATTATAACATCTTTACGGCAAGACGGTCTGCAGATCCATTCGCGTAACAACCTAAAAGGTATTTTATTTAAATTGGCGAAAAATGTTCACTTTCATTTCGACTGTACCTCTTTCCAAACGGCGTGCAACAACGATCCAATGTTTTCATGAGAGAGCCCTCACCAAAGATTCTTAGATTATTGATGGTAATAGCATCCAAGACCTATTGATTAATAATGTTAACATTCTATATTATGTAATTAACATGGTTCACTTAAATATCACTGACCATGTTATTTGCAAACTTGGCTTCAGAAGATTCGTTTGAAGTGTCTGGCGGGATGTACGTTTTGAAACGTGCTTGTGCTAACAGTTGTTGTTCAAGGAAATAATCTTTAAGTAAGTACACGCATCCTCCTAAAGCGTGCACTGCTAATTCTTTATCATCGGCTGGTGTTAAACCTAGACTGTCGCCTAAATAAATAAAGTGACATCTTAATAATCTCGCTTGAATGCAATGTTTCATACAGTATTTACCTTGATTAAGATACGGTTTCAAACCAACAGGCCACGAAAAACTAGAATCTGATTGCTTAAAGTATTCTCCTTCGTGAAGATTCTAGAAGACATTGAATATACTTGCATAAACAAACAGTTAACAAAACAATCTAAACACGATGATATTACACTTACTTTTAACGTAGTTGAAGATGACCAGAACTGAGTCTCACGCAGCAGCGGTTCCTTGATACATGCTGCTAAAGTATTGTTTAAAATTTGCAATGTCTTGGGAGATAAACTACCGCGTTCGTATACAACCTGTGGAAGTATATTTGTTTATATTATATCATACTAGGTAACTAATAAACGATGAAGAAAGTATCTACATGAACTGGTGGATAATGGGCAAGTAGTGTCAGTATTCTAGAGTTGCAACGATCGTCTTCAAATTGTCCAAGATAAAAATCTCCTATTGTTGTATCTAAGAAACACACTCCATAATGTGATGTTTTTGCTCCAGGTGGGCATTTTTCAACAAGAGATAACAAATAATTAGAATTCGGCGTTGAAGCTTCTACATCCTGTGGAGTATACACTCTTGTACCTTTAGAGCTTATTTGGCAAATTTCTCTCTTAACAACTTTGTCAAACTTTGTTGGTTTAGTCACTGAAAAATGATGTACAGTATGATATTAATTGTTACGGAAAAGGTACAATATTTCTTCTTTGTATCTTACTTTTGCTGCAACGTTGTGACATCATTTCTGGGTTCTCTGTTTGTTCTACTCTGGCTACCTTGTATCCTCTTTCTATAAGACTTGCTGAGAAACGACCGTATCCGATTTCAGGAAATCCAGAATGAGCAAATTCACCCTACAACATACAAATAATATTTGTTTCGGACGTTCCACGAGTTTAGGGACAAAATTATCTAGAAACTCACGCGCATATATGTAAGATTAAGTTCTTTGACTCCAGTGACAGCATCCATATGATATAGCTCATAAAACTTTCCTACTTTAAAGAATAAAACACAGTCAAAATGTCTACTTTTTAATTCCCACCATTGCCTCATTGCCTGTAAAGATTACATTTTAGAATGTATAATATGAAACTATATATCAAATTTATGTTTGTTTCTCACTGGGGTTTGCTGGTTCAAAAATTCCGAAGGAACATACACAGTCTTTGGATCATAATTTGGATCCTTTAGAGTCTTTCTGTTGATGTCTCTTATTTTGTTTGGTTGTAGAAAATCATACCTCAAATGTGGCCAAGATTCAGTACTACTATTGCCTTGTGCATTATTAGATGGTTTTGGTTCCTTCTTATCCTACAAGAATTTTATTTCAATTTTTTGAGTAACTGACAATATAAAATGATTTGTCATTGAGAGCTAACAATTACCTTTTCACTTTTTTTTGAACCAGCTGAACCTTTAGCCCTAGTGTTGTTGGACATCTTCTTTTTCTTCTGAAACATGAGATGTATTAAATAACCGAAAAAAGACTTTTTAAGTGTATTTAATTTCTTACCACCGGAGATTCTTCATCACTTTGTGTCTCGGGTTCAGTTTCAGGATCTCCTTCACTGCCTGAGTCAGATTCTTCTGCTTCATCCTGTGAATCTATATCATTTAAATTAAAACTACCTGCTTTATTAAATTATTCATATTATTGTAATTTCTTATGGGTACCAGGTTTAAATTCATCCCCAGACTCATCCCCAGATTCTACATCTGGAATAACTAATCTTCGCTTCTTGACTTGTCTTGGCTCTTCCTCATCTTTCTCTTCTTCCTCATCATCTTTATAAATTCTTTTTCTGTCCTCAGTATTCTTGTTTTCCTTTCCCTTTCCAGGAGTTCTAGCTGTGTGCAAGAATAAACATTTCACTGAACTCAAAGGTAAATTAGTGTTATGTTATCTCATTATGATTTTCAGCGCTTGAATTAGTTGTGAAATTGTAATCCTCTTACATGTGACTGTTTATATTTTTATTATAATTTTACATTATGTAATAACATGTGCGACCAAAGTATAAAACAAAATGTGACATTCGTTATACTGTTCATTATTAATCTAGATTATTATTTACAAAAGGGCTGTCCCTTAACGTACCTTTGTTCCTTTGTTCTTTTGCTCTTTTCGGCGTCGAAGAGGTTTGATCAGGAACAGATTTATTAGCCGTTTGTTTAGGAGTTTTCGGTGAAGTAAAATAGTTGTACAACGTATTTACTTTCGACATAATTTCGTTGATGAATAACACAAAAATGATCACATTAAATAGCTATTTCTTTCAAACTTCTTTCACAATCAGTTTGTTCTCGTCGCAGAGCGTTCTTCCAGAAACGAAACTACTTTCGAAATTTTCCATGCTAGTATCTTTTTAAATTAGTGATTTTCTATAGAGCAGTGTACATTCGCATTTAGAGACATTTAGAGAAGCATGCGCACACTCATGAGAATTAGTTTCGAAAAATGGTCCGAGTTTCGCCTCTATAAGAGCTGTCTATAGTATCGATAGATCGAGATCTTCTGTCGAGAGAGGTTTACATTTTTTTAAGGAAGACCATCCGAAGTTGTGCCAAGTGATTTCATTATCGTGATTCATTCAGGTCGCGATTGTATTAATCCTGTTTTTGGATATTCCAGATGAACGAGGGAAATAAATGCCCTCGTCAGAAAGTACTGTGAAAGCCGTGTAAAGGGGCTGTAAGGTTATGAAGATCTAGTATTTTTTAAAAAGTTGTTACAGTGCGATAATAAATAATAGAAAGTGAATTTGGCACTAACCACAACGAAAATGACAGTTATGGATTTTTTCGGTTGTGCCTTTTTGGCCTTTGGTCCACCGCTGGCCATGTTTACCTTCACCGTCGCGACTGAACCTATTCGGATTATTATATTAATAGCCAGTGCCTTTTTTTGGTTTATTTCATTACTGTTATCGTCAATGCTTTGGTATGCTGTAGTGCCACTTCAAAATCAGCTGGCATTTGGACTGGTCTTTTCTGTATTATTTCAAGAAACATTCAGGTGACTGAAATAAAGATCTTTACATAACATCTTTAGTCTTATATAGTAAGAAGCATAACTAATGTAGTACCAAGTATATCGTGTACACTGTAAATGTTTGGTCTTTCGTTTGTTCATAATCCAATGGTGTTATTTGAATTTTGCTTCTTGCTATAGAAACTTGAAGGTAAGCCATCTCTTAGATTTTATTGCACATTTTTAATTATCTTATTCCATTGATTCAGGTATCTTTTATACTGGGTACTAAGAAAAGCTGAAAGAGGTTTAGAGAAAATAACTACAACACATGTAGTAGATAGCAGACATGTGTTCGCTTATGTGTGTGGTTTAGGCTTTGGTATCATGAGCGGTGCCTTTGCCCTTGTCAATGTCCTGGCAGATGCAGCTGGACCAGGAACAATGGGACTTAAACAGGGCACAGAATACTTTTTCATTATATCAGCTGCCACAACCCTTTGTTTCATCCTGTTGCATACATTTTGGGGTGTGATATTTTTCGCAGCGCTGGATAGGAAGAATTGGGGACAAATCGTTTGGGTTGTTGGCTCACACTTGTTTGTCTCTGGTATGACATTATTCAATGTGCATCAGTTCTACATGGCTAGTCTTTTATCTGCTTACGGGATTCTAATAATAACGACTTCAATGGCATTTAAAGTGGCTGGTGGCAGAGTTCAAAGTATATCTCATTGCATTACAAGGAAATGAAAGTGCAAACACATAGACAAAGTCAAAAAAATAAGTGGGTGTGTGTTGACAGAAATGAACATTGCGGAATGACAATTCCTTTTTTTTCCTTAGGTATTAGCCTACGAAAGTTGTTCATTATTTAGATATACATTTCTCAAGAGATTGTATAACGTTGACTTAGCAAACTATACCTTATTTTTTATATTACTGAACAAGCTGACATCTTCAGAAGCGTATTGGTACAAATTCAAAAGGTATTGGTACTGTTATATGTATCAGTATTATTCTTTACTCAAAATGTAAACATTTTCCACGTTTGTAAAAGTGTGTGGTTTGATCCTATTTCAAAGAAACGTTTGTTCCATCGAACCTGTAATACGTTCTAGCAAGGAATGCTTTGATCGAGTTGCTAGTCCGTTCCTTTTAACCAATTGAAACAATTGTACTATCAAATTAAGATAATGTTTTGCAAATGCAGTTGTACTGTAGTTTACAATATCCTCTTATGTCTCAAAGAACAAAGAAGAAAAGAGATGTTTTGCAGTAAGCGTGAATGTACATATGTAAGAATGGAGTGTGCATACTGTACATGTTTGTATCAGGCAAGAAAGACTAGTTGCGCAACTGTTCGCATCGTACGATTAAAAGTGAACAAGAGTATACACCTAATGATAACATGTGAGGAATTGTTCATTAGTTTTTGTATATACGGAAAACCCATTAACGATTGTACTTTAGACGTTTACTACGCATCTATATATTTGGCATTCCGTTTCACTTACCATTTCACGATGGTTTATTATTCGATACATATTACATTTCGTATGTCATTCAAATAAACACCATTTTTGTACAACTAAAGGTACAGTTAATGATGATCCTTACTGTGCAAAAAGTATATACCACAGGATGAAATTATGTGACTAGGGTAAGAAACATTATTGCTGAACGGAAATATCACGCGATACAAAGATATTTTAAATATTATTTTATTAAAATGAATAAAATAAAGAACTTCGAAGAAAAAATATGCTTGAACTAATGAAGGTACGTCAAGGCGGAAAATGATATGAATCACAGACAGGAGGGATTTCACAAATTCATCCATCGTTCAATTGTACAATTAAGAAATGTATTTTCCATATCGGATTCAAGATAAAAATCTAAAAGTACGTTCATGAACTTTCACCCTGTGGAGCAAGTAGTTTCTTAGTCGTTGATTAAATTTACGAGCTTGTCAATGAAGCCATCAGTAGTTCCATTTTATTTAAGAAGTTCTTTCCTTCCATTTTATCCCAGCGGACCTCTTTGAACGAGCCGCCTAGATTCTCCCACTTTCTTTCTCTAACTAATTGACCTGGAAAGAAATCTTTCCTAGGAGAATGGGCTATTGCTACTTGTACTCCGGTTTGTGGTTCACACCTGACAGCGATCATTCTGGAAGTGTATAATTATAAGTAACAAAAATGTAAGATATATACATACAAAGTAGTCCTAGAAATAAATACCTGTCCCCTATTGGCGATGCTAGAATACAACTGCTAGCATTTCCTAAAGGTTCTACTGCCCCTAATCCAAGATGTGAACTATTTGCCAAGAATTGCCAACCCATACATTTTGCTAATGCTTGTACTGCTGTTATTTGGTGCTGATAAATCTGTAGGAAGACAATAATCATTAAGAAGTTACCAACAAACATTTCAGTTATACCAAGAAATCCTAATTACCTGGCAGAATATTAAATCCCTTAGTTCTTGAGGTTCGTAACTCATATGCATCACTCTACCGTCTCTACAAACGCATTTTAACGATTTCTCCCCAACGTGTACAACAAGTGAAGTCCTACACACGCTATCATATCCATGCGTTAGAATGTTAATTTTAACACAGGACTGTGTGGGAGAGTTCAGTGCATTCCAATGAGAAACGATCAAAGGATCTTTAACTTCTTTTGCTATTGTATCTAAAACGTATTCTGTACGCAATCGCATGAAAAAGTGTTGAGCTTGTTGGATTATTTGTTCTAATAGAGTCTGGCTTTTTGTCATTTCTAAGAGTTCATGTCTATCGGCCGCTGTTGGGCCAGCTAGACATCTTCGTTTACTTGGTCCGAGAGGACCCGAAGACGGGTGGGGAAATGGATGGTGAGTGTTTTTATGGTGTACTTCACGAAGTAGCTGATGCAATGAATGCTCAAGTACATGATCATGATCACTTTTATGAGGAGGAGGAGGCGGTTTCTTATCGTTTCCTGTGCTATGACAAAGTCCTATGATCAACTGTATTCCAGGAAGCACCTGAAGTAAAAATCTTTCTAGTATTATTTTCTAAATAGAACTACTACAACTAATTACCGTTGCCATTATTTGATTCCCAACAACCATATGAGGTATAGGTGCGCGTAAATGTACCGCTTCCCTTGCCAATTGACTGAACAATTCTTTACAAAAGAGAACATTCTGGGCAGCTTCTAATTTCTGCTGCCAATGCATGTCAGCATTTGAACTATGTGCACTGTTATTAAGTAAACTAATATTTGCGCTGCAAAGATCCTCTTGATCTAAACAAGGAAACTATGTTAAACATCTGCTTTGGACACTATAAATGGTACGTTGAAAATATGTTTACCTTTTTGACATAGTACTTCTATGTAAGCAACACCCTGTAATTCACTAGGAATAGTAACACGCAATGCAGAAGCTTTTGGATTGGAAGGATGATGAGCTTGTCCACTTGTGTTGTTACCAGCACTGGGAGAAGCAGGTGGGCTGGTACTGCTTTTTTCTTCCTCTTCTGCCTTTGTTACTTCAAACATGCCAGTTTGAGGAAACTTGGAACCAGCTAGAAATATATATTAACATAATGTCCCAACTTACTAATTATTATTGATTGATAAATGAAGTTTGACTTAGAACCTGTTCTATAACTAAGGTCGCCGATAATGGAGTTAGAAACCTTTTTCAAACGCCAATTTTGTCTCAGTCTCAATAATTCAATGTGGAAGTCAGGTGTAGATCTATTTCTAGCTAATTCATTTTGACAATTTTTTAATCTATCTGCACCCATCATAATCACAGAAGCTGCCCCAGCTAGTGCTTTCTTTCTGGCATATACTTGTATCATAGGTTTCACTTCAGCTGGTTCTTGTGGCACTGGATCTAAAACCATATAATGCTTCTCTTTTGCTATTGCAAGAACATCTGTCAACACGCATACTTCTGTTAATGCATTTCTGGAAATGAAAGGGAATTAGTAAGATCTTCAGCCTTATAAGCTTCTTCTGATAAATACAATATTTATCTGTCTGGTTATAAATATATAAAAGTATAGAACAACTATTCCATTCACCAGTAAATATCCCACAAACATAATACAATCTACAACCTCAATTTATTTCTGACACTGTCCCATGGCCATAAGGAAGACTGAAAGGAAGCAGAATCCTTTGTATCTTCCTCTCCCTTTTCACCACTCTCAGAGTCCTTTTTACTATCCTCTCCATTGGTTTTACTAAAGTCGATTTTTTGTGCGATTTTTGCCAAGTTCTCTGATAATGTGAGAGGTCTGAAAACCAACAACTTATTCTATTAAAATATTTCATTGATGCTAACGTTTATAACCATAAATATATTGTATTGACACTAAGGTTAGATGCAATATGTAAAATAGATTCATTCGTATTCAAATCAATTGACATCTTATTAATTATTTCCATACTAAGAACAGTAATACAAGAAAGTACGTACGCCTGATAAATTTCCTGACCATCGTAAGTGATTTCTTGAATTTGATTCTCGATCGGTGCCTCCACAGAGATGTTCACCGAATACGCCATTGTTGTTTTCCTGTGTCCCGGTTACAGCGCTTTTAAATGAGTTGTAACTAATGGTGAAAATAATTGTTCACCCTATTTTAACAACCCGACAGTTACCAGCCGACATGAGTCCATATATCATGTTTAATGTTATACAATGTATTTTGATCCTTGCTTAACAGAAAATATAAAATAGCTGTATAATTACTTTAATTGTGACGTATTTAATAAATATCTTGAGTTTTTATATCTAAAGAAAATATAATAGAGAAATACGTACAATGCCATCTATGGCAAAAAGTTCGAGCGTTGTGTTGTAGATAGCGTTACAGACCTTTTCTACCGTTGTTTCTATTAGACATCAACAATTATTGTGTAATAGATCTACAATCAGCAGTTAGTGTTTGGAAATATAACTTCTGTGATATGTCGGAAATTTCAATAAATAATATTTAAACTCAGACAATCTTTTTTTTGAAATGAAAGTTAATGTAGTGGACATCTTTGTTTACGACTAAGATCTCAGCAGAGGCAAGAATCTTAACCTTTCGAATTTAACTGAAACATGGCGCGTCAAAGCATTAATGCAGACTCAGAGAAAATGCATAATTTGTTGGGTAACAAAAGTATTGACTTAGATAATTACAGGAAGCTAATCAAATCATACATTGAGTTGGTAAGGTTCAATAATTTATCGATTCGTATAAAAGTTATTGAATTGTTTATTTGAATTTGATTTTTTGGTTGTTTATAGCATTTGTACAGTGCTGCTTTATTTTGGGCAGACAAAGTTGTTTCATTGAGTAATGAAGATCCTAAAGATATATGTACTTTGGCACATTGTATGTATTTAATGAAACAATATCACAGAGCTGCTCATATTATCAGAAGTCGTGGACTGGAGAAGGTAACAATTCATAGTACTTTTCCTAATAGGATTGCAATATTACCAATATATCATTCCATATTATGACCACCTTGTAGACGGATATTATGTGTCACTATTTGACAGTAAGAAGTCTTCTTGAAGCAAAAGAATATAATGAAGCATTGCAAGTTATTAAGGAATCTGAAATATGTACAAATATGACACAATCAGGTATAAGTTATGACCGCACACCTATTTTAGAAGATGCTCCAAAAAATGTGATTAAGTATAACTAATTCTATATAATACTTTTTGAATGAAATTCATAGAAATTTCTAAAATTTAAATGGGACATTTGTATCTCATTTAATAGGTACAAAGTTCTATACTGTATGTGAAAGGACGAGTATACGAAGCTATGGATAATAGGGCAGTTGCAACAGATTGTTATAAAGAAGCTTTACGTCGTGATGTTTATTCCTATCAAGCATTTGAAGCTCTAGTTCAAAATCAAATGCTTTCAGCTTCCGAAGGTATAGAAATGATTAGACTAAGTAATGTAGGAATAAGTACCCTCATAATGTATATTATTTTAGAGAAAGAACTTTTGGAATCCCTTCCATTTAGTGAACAGTGCACAGAATCTGAAACAGAGCTTTTACGTTTGCTATATGAAAGTAAGCTCAAAAAGTACCAAGAACCAAATAAGAAGCAGACACTTGCACCTTGCAGTGTGATGGGAGTTCTTGTCAGTGATAGATTGTTAGGAAACTTAGATATGGAAGTGTCAGAAGCAGAGAGACTGTACTATAATTGTGATTATCAAAAATGTTTCTCACTTACAGAAAGGTATTTCTTGAAAGTAACAAGTGTTTTTACTTATTAAACTGTTCAAATAGGACTTGTAAATTTTACTGTATGTTTTAGAATATTGAAAAAAGATCCCTACCACAATTCATGCCTACCAGTACATGTAGCCTGTTTAGTGGAATTAAAAAAGACAAATGGTGAATAGTATATTGCATTAAAAATTAAACATTTGCAATCAATTGATGTTTATATGATACAATAATGTTTTTAGCTTTATTTTACTTGGCACATAAATTGGTTGACTTGTATCCAGATATGGCCTTAGCATGGTTTGCAGTTGGTTGTTATTATTATAGTATAGGTAAATATTTTGTTCAAATAGCTTCATTTTTCGAATAAGGGTAGTTTTTATAAAAATGTTTACACTATAGGCAAAAGTGATCCAGCAAGAAGATATTTGGCAAAAGCAACAGCATTAGACAGATTATTCGGTCCTGCTTGGTTAGCTTATGGACATTCTTTTGCAGTAGAAAGTGAACATGATCAAGCAATGGCTGCTTATTTTAAAGCTTCACAATTAATGAATGGTTGTCACCTGCCACTTTTATATATTGGACTCGAATGTGGCTTAACAAATAATCTTAAATTGGCTGACAAGTTTTTCCAGCAGGCTCAGGGAATAGCTCCAAACGATCCATTTGTAATACACGAGATGGGAGTCATATCTTTTTACAATTTAGAGTGAGTAATATTACATTCGTTTTCCCATTATCCCTGAAAGGTTATCCTAATTCGTAAAAAAGAAGTTGAAAATTCGCTCTACAACCTGATTAGTGTACTTCCATCCTTCCACGGTTTTGGAAATCTGCCTAATTTATCAAGAGTTGTCGTTTCATCGAATACAGTTACAAAACTGCGGAACGACAGTTTAAGGAAGCTATGAAAAGAATTCAAGGCGGTCTGACGGATGTTATCCTGCCTAGTAAATGGGAAGCTCTTCTGAATAATTTAGGTCACACTTGTAGGAAAATGAAGAAATACGAAGAGGCTTTGGAGTATCACCAACAGGTTACAAAATTCAGATTTACAACTGCACGAAACTTGAATAAAATTTGCAGTGATTCTGTACGAAAATTTTTGCTGTATTATTATAGGCATTAGTACTGAATCCATTGAATCCATCAACGTATTCAGCGATAGGTTTCATTCATGCCCTGACGGGAAATACCCAGGAAGCTGTCGACGCTTTTCACCGAGCACTTGGTCTTAGAAGAGATGATACTTTCATAACAACTATGTTAACTTACGTAATGGAACAACTTATAGAGGAGTCGCCTCCATACCCTGGTATATAATAACTATTATTGGTACATCAATTTGATGGAAATTGTTGTACAATATTTAATTATGATCGTTATTCGACAGACGCATCCGTTGATATTCCAAAATACAGATTTCCAAAAGTTAGGCTTCAAGATACAGAAACTTCAGAACTATTAGATAGTACAAATAATATAACCGAAACAGGTAATCAGGATATCGATAAATTACGGGTAAATTTATTTTCCGAATGGGGAGAGGATTCTGGCAAAGCTGAAGACAACACTCCTGACAAGGTGGAAAGCAATTCACGAGATGTAGTCGTGAATTACTCCAGTGATATTAGTTCAGAAGTTGAGATGTTAGACTCGTCAACGGCACACATAGAGTATAAATAAAATCAACGAATTTTTTATGCTTTTAATTGATTTGTCTATATAATAAATAATAATTTTCCAAGCAATAATTTTGCTTGAAATATATTTCTCTTTCCCTTAGATAATATCCTTGTATTATTGTATAGGAATCCATAAAATTACTGCAGGTCTGTGGTTTACTACATAAATATAATTATATACATTAAATGTTCACTTAACGATTTCTTTAATTAATTACAGTTGATAGTTTCTAACATAACAATTATTACACATATCCCATGTAATCATACATTCTGTAAATTCTTTTATAAAAATGTACCTTCTATAATTATTTCCAGCTTATATTAATAATACATATATATGCGTTGAACAATAATCTATTGAAAGGTTTTTTTCTACAATACATTTTCAATGTCATTCAAATTAAGTTCCATTAATTCTATTTAATTTTCATAAATCGGAAACAATCGTGCCCGCCAACGAACACAGTCATGAAATTTAAATAATTTCGAATAGTTGTCACGGACATACGAAATTCCACAAGGGCGCGTCGCGAACCGCGCCGGCGTTTACCGAAGATGGAACTTGCTGTCGAAAAAGGGAGAGGACGGATCTTCAATTCAGTTCGCCGAGTGGAGCAACGTGGAGAAGAATGGGCGTTTCGTCTCTATCGTTGCTGCATCAACGTTAATATCGAGGCGACTCAAGAGGAAGATTAATTTTTACTTTCCGTAGAACCGACGAATCAATTATAAATGGGCGATTCTGGGAGTTGAGCCGATTTCAAAATCATCCCCCGGCGATTGACTGAGATACCCGGCGGGATCGGAAAACTTTTAATGTAACACGATAATTCGCTGATTTATTCAAAATTCGCGTAACCTGTCCGGAGAACATTCGAACTCTGTGTACACGCCGAGAACGTGGCCTGGGAAGGTCGTCACGTCGAAATTCGCTGGAGAACGTCGTCGATACAGAACAGTTCAAGAAGTCAGTGTGGTTCAATCGAAGATCAACATGCCCATGTTAATGCAATCGGTAAGTTTCAACTTTTATCAAACTTGGACGACATTCACCTCCCATCGGCTATTCCGTTCGATATTCGGTCCTACGATAATTTCTATGCATGCGTTTCGACCGAGTGTCAATTTTCCCGTGGCTGGTGTTTTTCGAGATTCTCGTGCGGTCGATCGGTAACCTACTTTACAATTTCGTTTGCCATGATGATGTTTCGAAACGAGGAAACACCGATGTAAAGTATACATCGAATACGATGGAATGTCCTGCGTCCTCGGTTGTAAACAAACACGAGAATCGTAGGTTTGAGCCGCTACGCGTCCACGTGCAAAACACGTTGCGTTTCGTACACCGATAGACCTGCCCTTTATCTATATATATATATATGTATATGTATATATATATATGTACATACGTAGTTACGTGTGTACATATGTATGCGCTGCGCCCTCTGAAATCGCCCTTAACCCATTATCAGCCACTTCGGATAAGGTGAGAAATGGTGATACAGAAATTTCTCAGACTCAAATTCGCCCTTTTCGATCGCAATATTCCACACTGTCGTGTAACAGGAAACTGTACAGTGATACGCGACAACGTACAGTAGGGGAAGAAAGTTGCTTTACACATTACCCTTTATTTCCGATCGATGGTACAATTTTTCATATATATTTCTAACCAATTGAAAGTCATTTGCATTCGTCTATTGCTCTCTCGTGAAACGACATTCTCGCGACGTGGTTCGATTCTGAAAATCATTACGATTCGTATAGAAGCATTTCGCTTTTCCGTTGCACGTTATTATAGTCAATTGCAATACCGAATCGGAAACAATGTGGCATTCGTAACGCAGATAACAGTAACGATAGCGTGCACGTTTCGTTGCTCGGTCACAGTATCGTATTCCCGTAATTACATAACGTCCTTTCAACAAAAAATAATTATAACCTACCCGGTGAAGTAAATCCGTATAACCTACTGCGTAATACCCACTGAATTAAAAATTCCCCGAAAATCTACTGACAATCGTACACACGTGTGTCCACCGAGTACAGTTGAAGTTATTCAAGGACTTCCATAAGAACAATCGATATCGGCGTGTAACCCACGCGTAATTCGATGACTCAAAGGGTTACATCGGTCCCCGAAAACAAACGTATCAATCCTGGCTAAAAATATTTCATTCGACGTATCGTTAGAAAAATCGTTCGACAATCGAGACCTCGATTCCGTCACAAGGGTACACGAGAATTTCAATACTGCAGTGTGTTTCCATTTCCAACGTTCACTTTTATTCAACAATTAAGTAGAGATACAATCATTTAAACGAACAACCTGTGCGACACATTTTCGCGAAGGTTAGCGTGTTCGTCTGGCAAGCCCTCGCCCACTCGAGCCGCTACGCAACGTGGGTGATCACGTGGAATTTCATAAATAATGAATCTCCCAAATATTCGATAACCCTGTATATTCTCGAGATCGTTAGAGAGGGACAGAAGTATATATGTATATATATGTGTGTGTGTGTGTATATATATATGTATATATAGAGAAACAGAGAGAGAAAGAGAACGAGAAGTAACGCACAACCTCGGGACGTTACAATGTGTCGCGTGTCTATATGCTGCGTACATCGGAGACGTCCTTAGCCAGGAGCGCGTTTGAACCCGACAGCAGCGTTGAATTCCACGAAGTTTCGAATTCCAGCTAAGACCCTCGAATTCCTTGATATCTTACCCCGGTCCTGCAAAATTTTTTTTCCGAATTCCACAAACGCGAACTGGGAGTGGCGTCCTTCAGTCTCCTGTTTTCGTTCTTCTGTACCGGAAAGCTCGGCAAAGAGGAATTAGTCTGCTGGAACTGCTCGCAACGATGTGTACGAGGAAATCATCGGTGGTAGGTTCACGGGGGACGTAACATAACCGTGCAGCGTTTCTTCTCGCCGCGATCGGGTCGTGTTTTATCGGTCGCTCGTTACAACGGTCGCGCGATCGTTCGAAGCCGTTGAACTTTTCGAAATTTCCGTTCGCGTTTACCGGAAGCCACGCGTGGAATTCCGTTACCGTGCGACGAACACAGAGAAAGAGAGAGAGAGAAAGAGAGAGAGGCGTGCGTAGTGTTTGATGAAATTCAAACGGCGCCAACGGAAGTCGGCGAGACGCAATCGTGTCCGTTATCGACGAGTATTAAATTACTGTTGTTTTCATTTTTTTTCCTGTTTCTTTCTTAATCGCGCTCGGTATCATAACGGTTCGGCAACCGGTAACTAAACCGTGGATGTTTTATTCGAGTGTTTAGGAATTTCTCGAAATCGAAGGGAGACTCGAGACATCGTTCGGTGGTACGAGAGCCGAGTCGAACAAAGGAGACGTCGTTATTGTTTATTAACGTTCGGACGAACGCGGTTTGGTTCGCAGTTGGATTTATCGTACGATATTGACGGGGTGAAACTACTGGACATTTCCGACCGAAATGAAACCTCTCCTCACGGACTGCAGTTGCCACAGACTCGCGACCAGGACCACGTGCAGCTACAGCAACGGGAGCAACTGCAACAGATGCAACGAGATAGGGACCAGTTGCAGTACCAGCAACGTGACAGGGAGCAACTGCATCGTGACAAGATGCAACAGCAAAGGGATCGCGACCGTGAACGGGAGCAGCTGCATCAGCTTCAATCGATCAGCAACTTGTTACTGGACCTGCCCACGCCGGCCAGCTTCCAAGGATACTCGCATGACACCGGCAAAAGCAACACCGCTGATGGTAAAGCACAAGTTCCCCGTCTCGACTTTGCCCGTGTTTCCCTGTTCTCGTTGATCAACGTTCCGTCTCTTACAAGTTTTCGTGCTCTTAATTATTTCATCGATTAAATAAACTCAGAACAACGCTGACGTGTTACGAACATTCGTATTACAATATTCAAATTCTCTATTTCATTTCTCGCGTTCAAACCGTGAAAAGTGTACCGCAGCTTCGACGATTCGTACTCCGGTCTTCGAGCAGGTCGGTCGGCCATATTGCGACCGGAAGTCGATGCTTCCTGCTGGAAAATATCAATCCCTAGACTCGACGAACCAACGGAAAACAATGGAAAAAACGTGGAGAGTGGTGTTGTATAGAATACGATAATTAATTTCCTCAATGTCGACGGTTACGTTACAATTATTTCGTTGGTATCAGAACCATCATGGCGGACATTGAACACCAGACGATGCGATGCGCTACGAGAACTTGTAAGGCTTTTGTTTTGTTTTTTTCTCGACGGACACCCGATGAACGATTCGAAACGCGCCCCGAACACACCCCTACGTCGCGCGTCGGTTCTCAAAACTAACGAGCGAGCTCGATCGTCATTTGTCAGCCGACGGAGCCGCATCCTTGCCTCTGTCGTTTATCCCCGTGAATTTTCGAAGCAGTGATTTCGATTTTGCGTTCCATCCTAGCGGACATGTCGATTTCGGATCTGTTTGGACTCGGCCTGCCGCGGGGCTCGTTGATGGGCAACCAATCGACGGCCGGATCGCCTGGCTACCGGAATCATCAGTACCAGAACCGCAGCCCAGGATCGTCCCAGCATTATCAGGTAATCCCACGTGTCGGTTCGCGTCTCGCGCGAGCTTCTCAAACGTCTCTTTCGTTTTCATGTAGGTCAGTTGGCTTCGCTACTCCTGGTCACTCATCCCAGGACGCGGCTTCTTTCAGTTGTTCCTTGGACGGTCTCTTTCCTCCTCCAACCCCTTCCCGTGCCGTAATTTCATCTTTAACACTAGATTTACGGGCATTTATTCTACACTTCATTCTACTGTTCTTAGGAAACTAAGCGTTCGTCTATATAATTCGAGAAAATTGTAGCTTCAAAACTGGAGCATTGCAATGCGTATAATTGCGCGAATCGAAATCGACTCAAAGTATTACTAAATAATGCTTAAAAAATTCAATATCCGTCAGATTGACGGGTTCCGTAAATCTAGTGTTAAATTCTCCTTTGTTATCACGACTAGACGGTTGTCCGTGCATCCGCGGTGTTAACAGGTTTACAGACATTTGTACAGTTTATTCTATTGTTCCTGGGGAAGTTGATATTCGTTCATTTAGATTTTGGTAGATGTAGAAATTCAATCAGGATTCATATTCGTAATTGGACCAACGAAAACCGATTGAAACATTTACCAACGTTTCTAAAATTCAATCTGCGTCAAACTGACGCGTTCCGTGAACCCAGTGTTAAACCTCGAGGACTCGCTGTCTTTCCGTCATACGTACACGCGCATATTTACAATTCATGAATCCATCTTCGAGACTGGCACTTAACGAACTATCGCTTAACGAACTATGCATACGCGTCCACGGTTTAATTATAACGGAATCGATACAGCGCGGTCATCGTTATTAGACTGCAGCAGAAATTTCGTTGCCTCGGAGTTCGATGATTGATTGTCGTATTTGAAAGAATTCCTACGGAGAGCCGGGGTGCGTTCGATAACGCTCGGCTATAAATTTCGAAGCGTGTCCGCGGGGATCTCGATCGAAGACGCACCGAAAGACACCGTTAATATTTTCGCAATGGCAGGCAGCGTCACGTGTTAGTGAAAACCCGGACGGTCGAGGCGGAGGCGGTATTATGAAACGTCTGCCTGCTGCCAATGCAATAACCGGAACAATGATTATCCTCATTGGAGCGTCTCCAAGTGCTCCTCGAGGTTCCTTTTCCGGCAGCTGCGGCTAATTTTTTCCACAATAGTCCGTCCGGCTACCTGGTGTATCGATTTTCAATAGATTCGTTACGGCCGGACCCGCCATCAATTTATGATAGCGCATGTAACGATAACGGATCGCGATACGCGGCTGGCTCCTGTCCTCGATAAGGAGCTCTCCCAAAGCTGCTCCTTCGACCGACTCGTACCACTGGACCGCCGCTTTCCCGCATTTCCCTAGCTTACCCCGGAGCAGCGTCGATTCCGCCGGTCGAACCTGACGTTTCCGTGTCACGACCGGGAAGATCTAAAATTACCGTGGAACATCGAAACGTCTCGTCTTCGATTCGCCTCGATTCGCGCGACACGGAAATAAAACGTTCGCCGGTCGTAACGTTTCCGCGACCGGACCTCGGATTTTTCCTCGGATTCTCGTTAACCCGTGCGAACCTTGCACTCGTGTTTTCCATTAAGAACATTATTCGCGATGGATGAAATACCATGCGAAGTCTACGGTTGATTTATCGCATCGATTCGTACGGTCTCGAGTGATTCTCGTAGAATCAAGGACAACACCGCGCGAGACGATTTTTCAGTAGAATTATCGTCGGTGATTCTGCGTCAGTAGCAGGAGGGACGTTGTACGAAAGTCACGGCTTATCGACCAGACGGTTTAATGGACATTTTATCAGGCTCTTCTCGACGCCTTTAACGTTATTACCCTCACCATCCGCTGGATGCATCTGTACATAAAGGACCGGCGGGACATCGAATCGCCGCGTGTTAGAAGCGACGTGTAATGCGTTCGGCAAAATAAATTACGCATAGCGGGCCGCGTTACTGCGACCCGGATTCCAGGATGGCCAAAGAATTTACAAGCCCGAGCCAAACGGCTCTATCGCGGGTCCCCTTTTCGCGTTCCCTCGCGTCTCTCACCCCCTTTCCCGGTCCCCGCTATGGCCTCCGACCTCCCTGAGAAATTGTAATCGCGCCCTGTGTTCTTCCCCGTTATTTTGTAACATTATCTTGGCTGCGGTCCAACCACAGTGTTGCGAGTTTCGCCGAAAGAACACTCGCGAGGGAACGGATCCCTTCTTGTCGAACGAATCGAACCTATGCGCCCGGTAACAATCGAACGGAGCCGCGCCGACTCGAACACTGTTCTTGTAATTGTTCTGCTACCGGAAGTGTTCATGCGATCCCTAGGTTTCGACTGACTTCCCGAATTTTATCGTCGCGTTGCAGATTTCAGTCGTTTCTATTTAATCTGGTTGATGTTAATAGTAGCATAGTACGAGTTTAACGAGTCTTTCAATCGACAGTTGGAGAACAGAGGAGGACGAAGCGTAGAATAGAGGAGTGAAAAATGTGTGGATACTTGATAATAGATTTTCCCTTTGACACAGTGCGAGGATAGGAACAGTATCTACTCAAATTCATCGATGCTGGATATCCCGAGTTCGCCCAGCTCCGTTAATACACCTGGCAGCCCCAGTACCACGGGTAGTCTCTACTCGAACCCGTATACTTACACATCAACGAACAGTAGTAATCAGGCAGCGTCGTCACCGACGAGTCGAGGATCTGTGCAGCACATAGGTTCTCCGTCGTCTCCCATTCATTCTCCCTATTTTGGAAGGCCTATCCGTGGGTCTACACCCTACAGGTATCTTTTTAATAAAGATGTATATTTTATATTAAATATATAATTTATAGATATGATCAGTAAGATATATAATTTATAGATATAATAAGTAAGATATATTTTAATAAAGACTTTAATAGTCTTTGTAATTGTTCGAATAGATGTTGATGTTGTTTCTTTTATTTTCTATTTTAGTGACTGCGGTAGTCCAACATTCGAGTACCCTCATGTGATGGGCTGCAATGGTTCCAGATCAAATTCACCTGCGGATTCGGAAACGAGCGGCGTAAGCAGCATGGATGGTTCTCTGTCCGACATAATGGTAGTTCCTTGTGGTATTAATGCAAGACAATTAATCCTGGGCACACATGGAAACCTTTTTTAAAGGATCAGAATTTTAACAGAAATTTCTAGCATTTCTTATTAGTTGTGGGTATACCAGAATACTAGCAAGGTGTACTTCCAGGATTAAAGATGAACTCCATTCAAATTTTAATGTTTCTTATTAACGGCATCTTCTTATTGACATTTGTTTAATCGTTCGTTTTGAAACTTTTCTAGAATTGCTTGTCATTGAACTCCTCGTCTCACGGATATTACCCGCAATCCATTGGTTCGCTAATGTCGCCGGAAGTAGATTTATGTCCAAACAACAGAGCAGCAGCGTTTCAACGAATGGCAGTGAAAAAGTATTTGTCTTCACCTCATCAGAACGGCACGTCAACGCATCACCATCATCATTCGCATGGACATAATCGCGATCACCATTACGGCACGAATCAGAATTCCGGTTTCCTGAACTCCTTCTTATCGCAAATCTCGCTCGAGCGCGTGGCACGATTCCATCGAAGCGCTGCTGGTATGTAACGTATCGATTCTGGAGTTTTATACGTTTCCTAGCATTTCGGATGCCCAGAAGGGAATGAAGTAAAAAATTTGAATGGAATTTCATTCTTTTTCAACGGCTGTTTTCACTCTCTGAAGTTAGCGACACTAGAAGACAAAAGTGCGCGCGTACCTGTGCTGTATTCTAAAGAAACATTGTTTTAGCTCTGTGCGATCCAACTTGCACTTGGAGCGGTATATTGCCTCAGCGTACTCAAAAACACTCAGGTTATTCATCGAAAGTGTTCCTCGGCGGTGTTCCTTGGGATATTACAGAATCTCTTTTAATCGCAACTTTCAAGCAGTTTGGTCCAATACGCGTAGAATGGCCAGGAAAAGATCAATCCGCCACGCAGCCTAAAGGATATGTATATATTATACTTGAGTCTGAAAAGCAGGTAACCGATCATTCTCTTTTAGATCGTCGACGATCGAATATTCTTTACTTCTAACCAGACACGGTTTTCCGCGCTTGAAGGTGAAGACTCTGTTGCAATGTTGTACACACGATTTTACCAACGGAGGCAGTTGGTATTACAAAATATCCTCTAAACGAATGAAGGCAAAGGAGGTCTGTATTCTCACTGTACATCATGCTTTAGATCAGTGGTAATTCACTGCTCCTCTTATGATTGTAATTGTAATTGTAACGCAGGTACAAGTCATACCTTGGATTCTCGAAGACAGTAATTACGTAAAATCCTCATCACAGAAGCTCGATCCCCATAAAACAGTATTTGTCGGCGCGCTTCACGGCATGCTGACAGCTAGTGGTTTGGCAAAGATCATGGATGATTTATTTCGTGGAGTTATTTACGCAGGTAAAGTGATTATTATAAGTGTAATCCGCAATCCTTATTTTTGTTCAGAGTATCATTTAATCTGAAACGTAATTGCAGGTATCGATACTGACAAACACAAGTATCCAATCGGATCTGGTCGCGTTACATTTAGTACAAAGCATTCGTACATGAAAGCAGTTTCAGCAGCTTTTATTGAGATCAAAACCGCGAGATTTACGAAAAAGGTTGGTACTCTTTCACAGGATAACAAGGGGGAAAAATAGAGCAGAATATTGGAAGCGTTTCTGTATTTTGAACAGGTGCAGGTCGACCCGTATCTTGAAGATTCTATGTGTTCAGAATGTTCCGTGCAACAAGGGCCTTATTTCTGCCGTGAAGTGGTATGATAATATTTTTCTTATATCAATTTGTTTACTGTTAATATATCTAGTTTCCATCGCGAATGGGTCTGTTTAAAGAACGATGATTTTTGGTATTTTAAGATGTGCTTCCGATACTTTTGCCGCATTTGTTGGCAATGGCAGCACTCGATGGAATCAATGTGGCATCACAAGCCATTGATGCGTAACTCAAAGACCAATCACGTGGTCGGATTGTCTCCGAACATGAACTCCTCCGGATCCCGTGGACTGAGCAACCCCACGATTTAAGTATTAATTACCAAGCTTCTCGTATGCGATATCATACTCACACTCTCTCTTTTTTTTGACTATTTGCTTCCGCGCGGACGTCGCGCTAGCTGACTTTACTGACAGGGTGCAAACTTAGTTTTTATCGCAGGGCTGCGGGCAGCTGGTTTGACGATATGGAACATAAAAATACCGTATATACCAGCTGATCGGCAAACACGCAAACGATTTGTTTATTATCGTTATTATCATACACGTCCGCGGTACAAAGACTAATTGAGATGATTAACAAAGAAAAATCATGTTTTCATGAAGAGTTCCTATTACAAAACGCGGTTCTATTACCACGTTCAACTAAAATGATACTTTTATTTAGTATATTTACTTAGGGACTGGTTCTCTTGTTGATCGTTTTATTGCGAAAAATATAAAATCGTGCCATCGAGCAACAGGACGAACTTGGGCACATTGTGTGCAGTAGTAGCAGTCATGCGCGTAACGAGTGTGCGTTTACATTGAATTCTCACATGGGCTCAATTGTGGCTTTTATAGTGACAATAATTTTTATGCGATACAAACTTAGTAAGCCACTCGACTGCTATAAATGAAACACCGAGAAAGGACAACAAGTGTGCTGTTATAGTTCGTGGTGGTGTTCAGAAAATGAATTCGTAAAATACAACGCGCCGCTATAATAAACCATCGGCGGAAATGTTACGCTTAATCGTAAATTATACGAGGATATTAGATTATTGTAATGTTCGAGGCAGCAGGAGGATTTAAATCATTCGATTTCAATTATTTTTTCGCGGTGAACGTGTTTCATTTCGTATAACAGGTGTGATGACTTTCTATCTAACCAACTACTTGTCCCCCTTAAGCCGTTATTCTATTCCGACGTTTGTCGGCAATACTGCCTATCGTTGTAGTTTTATGTTAGATTGTACAATGTAAGAGTATTGCCAAAAGAAGTGGCCACTGTAATCATAATTTATATTCTTAATCAAAAGCGGGAAGCGTCGCAAGCTTTCGTTTACAGGGACTGTTTAACTGCTGACGAAACGGAGTAGTACATGGTCTACGATTCTGGAACGGATTGTAGTAAATTGATTCTGTTTTTATTTTTTGTTACGATATTAAGTTATGTATTTTCTTTCAATAAGATTTCCGTGGTATTCTCATCGCGTTTCTGATGTTTTGATATCATTTTGTTGAGTGAATTAAAAGTCATATTTTTGCATATAGACTTACATTGTCGTTCCTCCCTTTTTTCTGTTTCATCATTCTGCTGTTCCTTTGTGTTATAGAGAATATTACTTCCAACCAACCTTTCTCTACACCTAATTCCCTCGCCTTACAAATGTGTGCTCGCAGAAACTATCTGAACTGTCTTTGCATCATGAAAATTCGATAGCTGTGTCTTGATATCACTGATTTATTTTGGAACTATATTATTTCATCTTTGCCCTGTTGTTCTCTTTGTATTCTTTGCGGATTAACCAAATCGTATAGTATTTCATTTCCTAAGCTCGGTGCTAAGTTTAATTCTTACTCTCAGTAATAATCCATTACAAGTATTACAATATGGCTTCCCTGTTTTATCATAATCGGATAGATATAGATTATAAGTTATTACTGGTAAATGTTCCAAGAAGAAATTGTTATATAGGATTAAGATTTATGATTGAGAATGCATATAATCAACTGCAGATTACTCTGCTACTACTGGTCTTATCAAATTACAAAAGACAGAGAAGAACTTATCATATTTCAGAGACATTAAAATTTAGCTTGATTCGAGAAAGTGGAACAAACAAATAATATATCGCGTTACATCAAATGCAATGAACAAGTAATACGGTTATTATATATATAAGAAAATACTAACATGAAGTGCTTTAAACCAACACACACATATATATATATAAACATACAATATATATATATATATATATATTCTATGAAGGCTTAAAGTGTACTATCCATAATGTTTTTAGTCAACGAAAAAAGAAGTCGGTTTGCTATATGCCTGAGAATGATTCTAGATAGAACGACAAAGTCTTAGACTAAAAATTTAAATGAATCAACGGCGGATAATGAATCGAATGAAATTTTAAAAATGCTCTTTTATCGGAAATATCTTGTTTACAAACTTTTAATGAGTCGTGCCTTTTAATGTAATCTCCATAGATTTTATTCCAATGTGGAAAACACAAATTATTTTTAAAGTCATTGATAAACCATGCGATACAGGGTGATCTACTATTAAAGTGAAACAAGACTGCTACTGGGTACGCATAACGTCAAGCTTTCTTAAAACTTTTAAGAGATTTAACCGATCGCGAGGCAATGATCACATCGCCGCCATAGGTAGCAAACTATTTTTTTTATGTTCATACGGAAGTGCCTCCTATTCTTTCACATTTTATTGATAATAAAACCTAAGACTATAATTTACAAATAATAACACTTGATGAACAAAGACATATATACGTAATAATTCGAATACTAGTAAATGTATACCTAATTACACTCATTAGCGTGAGATCGAATAAGCTTGATCTTCGGTATCAATAATTTATATTGCTTTAGCTTCCCTCCTATTACATATATCCTTGTTGAAGCATACTTTGTAACACAAGACTAGTACATGAAAAATAATAAATTGTTCTTTATTATGTTAACAAGGTTGTATTGCTTTGTAACATATAAAATTATTCTTTACAGCGCATGTAAAAGCTGTACTATGAAGAACAAATCTGTATCCGTATTTTACAATTTATTTTTCTTTTCATAATTGCTGTACAACACTTTCAGTGCAGAAAGATTGTCATAGAAACGAAAGGTATATGTACAATACTAACAGAAACTGCTTTTAGTTTATGGCAGTCTTTTTTCAGTATTCTCGTATTACTTCTTCCGTTCCGCTTGTTTGTTTAGCGCTTGATACAAGCCAATGAAGGAGGACAAAGTTCCAAGTGCTCCAACTTGCCAAACTTTTAATTGACCTCCCCAAAGCACACCGGGTGGTAAATAATTTACAGCATAACTGATGTCTAGTATCAATCGAAAACTGGTCAACAGTTCATTCCATGTTTGTTTGTTAGCAGATTTTAGGGCGAATCTGTGAAGTTATTAATTAAATTACAAAGTCTTATTAATAATAAGAGTATTTTTCATTGTATCCGCTTTACATTTACCTTGCATCACGATTGATTTCAGAAAGATGTATTTTATAGTTAGTCAGATTTATTAATTTTCTTGTAGATCTAAAAAAAAGTTAGTTAATATTTTTTACAGTCTATGGTATCTACATTTTGAACATACTTTATCAGTGATAAATGCAAAGAAATTATCCAAAACCATGTTGATGCGCTATCCCATTTTTCAATATTAATGTTAATTAGTTCATGGTCAGCTGCCCAAGAAATGTGTTCCACAGGACAAAATATGATGTCCACTGCAATTTGTAATAGCTCTGCATATCTCAATATCCAATCTGGCTCCTATTACATATGAAATTTATATGCCTCTAGAAAAACAGTTTCAGTCTGTACATATTATTAATAATGGGAAAATGAATCGTGCAACAGAAACAATTGATTTTCTTGTTTGACTTTATACTTAGTGTATACTTTCTATACCATTTTTCCCCAGCCGTAGCTCAGAGCATAATTAAGTGTTGGTATATCGTCGAGTAATCTTAATATCACTCTGCAACCACTTAGTTGGCTGCTAAGGACTTTACATTTCTTTTCTGTTTCCTTTGAAGATGCCCCTAATGTAGCAAATTTTGCCATGTAGGAAAATGTCCTTAAAAATTTATCTCTGCCTTGATAGGTGTCTAAGTATTCGGATATCAATGCAATATCCATTTTAAAGGTTACTATTCACCTACAATGATAAAAAAATAAAATTTAATAGAACATTCTAAAGGATATAATTGATTTGTATTCAGTTTATCCACAACATTAAATTTATGATAATTGTTAAATGTAAGAAATAACATTTCCTTAACATTACAACTACTCACCAAAACTGCAAGTAAGCAAATTGTTAACGTAATTACATGGACATGTGTGGTGTCCTATCTAGCATGTATTGTTTAAAGATAAATACGTATTGGAACACAACAGGAATAGGCTAAGTAGCGTTGTCCTCAAAAACATATATTCGATATAAAAAGAATTAGCTTATTAATACAGAAATAAATAAATAAATAAATAAAATGTTGAACCTTCTGTGTAAATAACTTAAAATTTATTTTACAACGCTTAGGTTTTACAGGAATATTAAAACATAAATAAAACTACTCTTATGCTTTCCCATACACTTTATTGGTTATACATAGAGTAAATTCCACTAATACAGATTAATAAGGACATTATTTATTTGTGTATAAAAAATTAACATTACGAATGAGATTTACAATATCTTTACAACAAATTTCGTATAATAAAAATTAACTAGAAAGACATATTGCACCATCTGCAAAAAAATGTCCAAATTCTACAAATCCTATGGTTCTGAAAGTTATTAGTAGATGACGTTATAGTTCATTGCGAAAACGTGGAAAACGCAACGAGTATGAATCAGCATTGCACATAATTGACAATATTTTTATTCATACATATCTTTGCTTCTATCGTACCGATATTATTTAATATTAATTTTCATTGTATTAACCAATTAATATTCAATTTTTTAAACTGACAAACTCATAAATATATGGATGCGCCATTCAGTGTTAAAATATGGTACTAATTAGCGAGTAGCTTGGACACTCTTCCGCTAGATAGCGTCACAGTCTCGTTCACCCAAAAAAAAGATACTATGGACAGTTTTCAATGATTCGTGTTGTTGCTGGCACCACGTGTAGTGCCACTTGTCGTAAATCGATTTCAGTAAGTTTATTTAAACCTTCGCAATCGCCACAGGCAGTTGCGTGAATTTCTCTGAAAAGAAACGTTCCCGGTCTCCGTGCGTGCATTCGAATCGAGTATCGTCGGCAATAAAACAACCGTTGCATACCATCTAAAATTAACTCGGCGTTCGTTATCACGGTTATGAATGAAGATTATCTATTCCCATATTTTATTCATACGCAAGAAACCTCTAATATGTAATCAATTTTATGAGTTTCTGTATCTCATTGGTGGTTCCCCTTCTGTATAATCGGCACGTTCACGGCGTAGGGTACGGAAGTGGTGGGGTGGCTACCTATCTCCTGAAAGCGTCGTATTCGTCCACTGTTGTATGTCGCTTTAGAGCAACGTGATCAGTGGTTCGTGGACGTGATGACGTCAGACTTGGAGGCACAAGCCGTGAGCGCGTTTAAAGCAGCCGAGTAGGGCGTGAAAGTGTGTGATTCGTGCCGCTCGTTTTCCCTCCGTGTGTTCTCTTAACCAAAAATTCTCATCTCTAGGAATATGTGCAAATAGCAGAGCGTTGTGCCCTCCGTGCCGTATACGGGACAATTATGTTCGGTGCTGTTCCAACGTGATTGATAGTGAAAAGGGATACCATGTTCCGCTGCATTCCGATTTTTAAAGGGTGTAACAGGCAGGTGGAATACATTGACAAGCGTCACTGTGCATTGTCGAGCGTCCCCGATGATATTTTACGATACTCGAGAAGCTTAGAGGAGCTTCTGTTGGACGCGAATCACATCCGTGATCTACCTAAGGTAGGCAAATACCGCTACATGCCAACTTTCCGCCTTACAACCGTATCTCTTCTTCTTTCTTTCGCTTCCTCCTTCCCCTCGCCAGTCTTCCCTCTCTTTCTTTCACTCCCCCGTTCTTTCTCGCTCTTCCTCTTTCTATTGTGTTCATGACGTATCATTCCATCGGCTATAATGCGACGACCAAGTACGCGCACGGCATATTCGATAGGGTTGCTAACACCGTGAATCGTGTCTCCTCTTATTAACCCTCGAAACGCGAACCTTTTCGACGACTGCACAAGCGAGCCTGTGTCTAAGGTCCGTCGAATCCCTTGCTCATCAATTTTTCTCGACACATTCTGGAACGTGTTTCCCGGAGACGCGTCGTTCTCGTTTTAGACTTCACACAAACAACTGCCAAACTAATCCATTAACGACCAAACTGTTTCCTGTAAACTATTTCACGCCCGCCTTACAAATTGTACCACGTTGTTTACGGCCACCAAGAAATGTCCGTATGAAACTGTCATCGCACCCATTAATACCTAGTGTTCTGTTTTGATGACTATAGTACGCAAGTTTGTACACTCGTAGCGTCTCCTAACCTACAAAACCTAATAAAACGGCCCTCTTAAAGCGTTTTACGCCAGACATACGTATATATAAGTGAACATCATAATTCCCTTCCTACAAGAAATTCAATTCCCTCGAGTTTCCTTTTTTTTCTTACAAATGAATTTTTCATACTGACATTTCATGGAATTCAATATAAAAAAAATATCTGAAGCTGGTACCCCCATTGAATTAGGGTAGATTAACGAGCGAAGGTGAGGGGTTGGGTCGAGATAGTCGAATGGTATGTTTAGAATTTTTATTATTTCTGTTCACAGAACTTTTTCCGTCTACAAAGGCTGCGAAAGCTTGGCTTGAGCGACAATGAGATCCACCGTTTGCCGCCGGATATCCAGAACTTCGAGAACCTGGTGGAGCTGGACGTGTCCAGAAATGGTGAGTGCACGGTTTTTATTATTCCGTTTGACCGCGCTCGCCCGCGGTTTTCGTGGTCACCGACCGCAACAGAACCAGACGTAACGTTCCCATCACCTGGATGTTTTGTTAGACAAGGAACGTTTCGTACCTCTCGTCCTCGACTTCCGGTTATCGGTGTTCCTTTTTCGGGCACAGACCCGACGGCTCCGGCGCACGGACTTCGCAGCTAATCCGCCTTCGGAATTCGATGTCACTGGTCGTTGATTCGGTTGACGATATTCCGTGGAATATTCATCGCCGATCAACCAACGTCGCTTTGTAAATAATTAGCCCTTTCCACTTGGAAGACCACACTCGATCATTTCATTTGACGTAAAACTAAAATCTGACATTCAACCCCTTGGCGTACTATTCACTTCTACTAAGCTCGTGTAACATTTTACTGTCAATAATTTGGAAAATGCAAAAGTTTTTCACTAGAAATATGCAACACTCTCTGATAGGATACAGACGATCTTTGAAACTAATTAATGAGAAAACATGTATGAATTAAGAAGGAAAGTTATTTTATTTCAATAGTCCATATATTGATGCATTATACAAAGCTTAATATTATATATAAGACTATAATTTTGCTGTATCAAATCAAGTGGTGACTGAGAGTCACCTCTCGAGTGCAAAGGGTTAAATTAGTCTAGTCTTAATTAGACTTGATAGCTTTGTTCCTCAATGGACTTGATTCCCTTCGAGTTAGTTTGAATATCGTCTTCGCATGAAAAGATATTGAGCGTTCCTAGTGAGAAATTTCCAAGTGCAAAGGGTTAGAATATAAATCGGCGTTACGCACTGTCAAGGGGATCCCCTAGTCAACGGTTGTCCACGGCCTCGATCGCGAGGAGCACGTGCACGCGTTTCGTAGACGATGTCAATGAGAAAGCTCGAGCGTAATAACGCACGTACAAAAGGCGTCGGGATAAAGAACAGGCCCGAGTTAAACGAGGCAGACCATTAACGGGAGAACCTTAGCCTGGTCATTCGGCTCTGATATACCGAGGACAGTCAGGCCAGCGTCAAGTATTAATAAAAAGACGTGCGCCTTCTTGTGGCCACGTTACCGTTAACGCTTTACCTTCTTTTTTAACGTGCCGTCGGCTGCAGCGAGCAGCATATCAACCACGATGATCTAATAGGTAAACGGTATTTACCTGTTATCCTGGTGACGAGGTTCTTCAGCGTGAATTCTCTTGAACGTTCACGTGCTCGTCGATTACCGTATTTAGCACTAGACCTACCAGGTGGGTCGAAATGACCAATCCCTAATTTCTGTTACAATCGTTACAAAAGCACAGACACTTTAACCGTTTGCGCTCGAGGCCTCCAGATGACTCGATACAACGAAATTATGAACTTTATTCATCATTAATGTATACTCAATACCTGACATATATAGCTCCCTGATTTATGCATGATTTCTTGATAGATTAATCTGAGAAAATCTTGTCTATCTGATTGGAGAGTATTGAATATTTCAAGTGAACAGTTTCCGAGTGCAAAGCGTTAAATTATTAAAGATGATTTAGTAATACCTACACTGAAATATAAACCAACTGAGACCTTAATAAACTCAGGCGTTTATTATTTATAAAGAAATTCTCAAGAGACGGTTTAAAGCTCGGTTCCAGTGTCGAGTAACAGGATTCCAGAGTTCCTTGACAAATCTGTAATAGAGAATTCATTTGAGTCGGTTTTTCCCTCGATTATTCGTGGTTTATAGATTGTTGTGACAGTTTCTAACGACGATGCTGAAGGCCCTCCACCCTGTCGCATCGGAAGACACATTGAAACGCGTTCTTACCACCGCATCGACGTTGTCCCCGCGAGGGAAGCCTTTTCCTTTCTCGCCGCGCTCGTTGGATTTACTTACCGTTCCACTTGGCCGTTTTTATGTTTACCTTGTGCTCGTCCCTCGCCACCCGCGTGCGCGTATACACACGGAACTTTGTTACTTCGCATGCAGCACGGGCTAGGAAGAAGGAATGCAACCATAGCCACGGATGCCCCGTCCTGCCATGAGACTCACTCGCCTCGTCTATCCCCCCTCCTCTTCCTCCTCTATGGAATGCCTCTTACCGCAAAATACCCAGCAACACTCGTAACTAATGTAAGATGCGCCTCACTGAACGTCTTTTTACCGAACGCGACCGTTCGACGTCTCATTTTCCGTGTGCCGTGAAGCCTCGATACAGCAGAGGTTACCTCTACAAAAAAATGAGAGACTATATTAACCCTTTGCACTCTAGAGGTGACTCTCAGTCATCAGATGACTTGATGGAAATTATAAACCTTGGTATTTACCATTAATCTTTGTACACTGCACTTTGTTCCCTAATTCTTGCATGATTTCTTGATAAATTCATCTTAAAGAGCCACCATTTGATTAGATGTATATAATTACATAGTGTTGTATGTAATATTAACACGTTGAATGCTATGGGGTCACCGGTGACCCCAACCAAATCGAATCACTATAGTTCATTTGCATCTTATTGGAAAGTGTCGAATATTTTTAGTGAAAAGCTTCCAAGTGTGATGTTAATCCTTCGTGATCCTTAATAAAAAACAAAACATTCTTAAGTACATTGTACAGTTGAGCATCTCGTTGAAGAAAGTAACTAGGGTAGTAGAATTGTCCTTGTCATTCCCTAGGATGAACCGTTGCGTTTCATATTACTTAACCTATTAAACGAGCGACTTCTCGTTCATAGACGAACACGTAGACCTGCGCACGGTACACGGACGGTATATAAAACCGATCTGCCCGACACAGATCTCGAGTTTGCGTAATAGGATAAGAAGACGAAAAGTTACTAGAAAAGGCAACGGAACGGAAATAATGAATTAGGCGTTTTATCCGAGTTAACAGGTTAACAGAAAAGAATGCGCGCGTCCCGTTCCGTTCGGGCGTGTCGTCGTGAAAGGTGCGACGAAAATACGAGCTATAAATAATTCCCGCACGTAATTACCGCTTCCTGATGCTGCGCCGCTCGTTATCAGTAAACGCTCCGCTCGCATTCTTTCTCCAGCACGGCCGTGCGACACATGTTCCAGCCGAGTAATTGGGCCCGGAACGCACGGAACACACGCGTTGCGTGCACTGTTTCGTACCTAGCTTTTATCTACCATCGTGCGAAATAAAAAGGAATTTTCCCTCCTCCGTTGACCGAACCGCGAGGACGCGTCCCGCCCGGCGCCAGTGCCTGCTAGCTGTCCGCGAAAAATTCCCTATCCCGACCGGCGGAAATTCTCACGGCGATCGGTTTTCATTTCGCCGATATTCCTCCGCAGGAAATTTCGCGTTCGTTCTCGTCGCTTGGCTCTCTCGACGGACTTAATGAAAAGTAAATCGAGTGAACTTTGGAAACTAATTTTCCACTTGCCGTTGTGCACGCGTTGGCGTAAACAATTGACAAACGATCGCGGGAATGTTTAACGGCGGGAATCGCCAATAGCCGGCGCTGCCAACCGAAATGGCCGTAGAAGAAAAACGATTTTTTTCTCTCTCGGACAATGCCGAAGTGTATAGCGAGCGGTGGTGTATTGTGCGTGCTGGAAATGAATTCTTTTGTTTGCAATGAAGTCGAGAGCAGGCGTTCCAGCCGGCTAAAGCGGTCCCCAGCATTTTTCCGGCCCTAGACTTTTTGGAAACGGATCGTTGGTACTTTTCTATGTTTTGGCGGTTAACCTCTTAAGGCCGGTGCGACTTTGACGTCAGGTATTAACCCTTTGCTAGAAAGTTTTTCATTGGAAATATTCTTTGAAACTAATTTAACGATATTTACTTAAATATTTCTAATAGTAATACAAAGTTTCATTTAGAATACTGAATATACTTCATAGTTCTGAGTCACCTCTCGAGTGCAAAGGGTTAATACATCGTCTTGTTAATTATTGAATTTTTTTAACGAAAACTGGCGAATAAATCAAGCGACTAATTAACGTAAGGTCTCGTACACACAAGCGTGAACATTCTGCGCCGCAACTTCAATGTTACAAGGTATACGATAAAGTTGTCAGACTTATCGAATATATTTTGACTGTCTATTCAGTGGTTGATATTGTTAATTTCATATTACATAAATATTCTAGTAACCACGAAAAGAATTCGGTCTGCGAAAGGCTAAATCGGATTGCAGGATTTCTTTCACGGCGCAAGAAACTCAACTCGAAACCCGGCGGATTCCCGTTTAAGAATTCGAAGGATGAAAAATTAATTGGCAAGCTTCATTAGAGACCTCGAAAGAATGAGTTCCCGTTCCACCTGGCAATTTCAATGCTCCACAAGAATCGAGGGGGACCGCGAATGAGAAATTTATGGATACCCGAACGAAAAATTCCGCGGACCCTCGGAGATTACAGATCGTAATTCTATTTATGGCGGAATGAGTAATGAACGAATTGTAATTACATACTTAATATTCATGCGAGGGATTAAGAGGAATTCTAAATAGCCGACGCTTAGTTTTTCTTTTACCGAACAAAAAGACGTTGAATCGTTCTGCGACCAGGAATCTCAATCGTCCCTGTTCACCGAGAATTTCAGAATTAACTTCCTAATTGCTGCATTCTTGGGGCGTGATCCGCCATTTTCTGAAAATTCCGGCGTTCGCTGGAAGACCACGGCGATCGGGGGGAGAGATCGACGCAGTATTGAAATTTATAGGAGGTTAACGATAGCGAAGCTTCCCGTATGACTCGGTTCAATATTTGAATGTCCCATTGTGCAAGCTCGTGTATACAGAGTATCGTTTCGCCCATTTATGACGGCCATAGAAATGTTCGATAATCCTCAGGGTCTCAGGATAAAGGAGGGAAACGTTTATCGGGGTGTTACGAGCACACACGTACACGTGCACAAGCGATAAGGGGGAAATCGATTGCCGACAAAATTTTCGTTGGCGAATATCGACCGGTGTCGCTCAATTGTTTCCGAGTGACCATCATTCTGACACTGATAACAGGACCATTTCATCGATAACATCTTCGCCCCTTGTATCGGCCATTAACGGCCATCAAACAACCCCTACGACGTTTTTCTTGTGTACAGGTGTCATCGTACGTCTCATGCAGGATCGGAGGAAAATTTTCTTAAAGAATAATTCACGAAAAGGACGGAGAGGAATAATTCCACAGTCCGCGCGCTTTTAATGAGATTAAACACCGGAATTAACCCTTTGCACTCCGAAGTTTTTCACTAGAAATATTTCAACATTTTCTGACGAGGTGAAGACGATATTTTGTAAGACCAACTCGACGAGAAATTCACGTGAATTGACGGACAAAGCTATTTTACGTCACACGTATAATATTAAATATCAAACTTTATAGCCTCACTGTAGGAAATTAAGTGGTGACCTCCCGAGTGCAAAGGGTTAAAGACGTTCAGTGTCACGTGTACCGTACATACTATGAATTTCTGTAAGAAAATATTTTTAAGGGACACTGATGGTGGTATGCGTTACAAAACAGCGAGATGAAAGAACCGTATCAGAATATATGAGTTAATATTTTATTGAAAAAATCAATACAGTTCATAAGCAGGATATAACTGAAATTTCCGTGGCACGGAACGTGTTAAGGACAAACGTCGGCTATTGATGACATCCAGTCTTTCTACAGAATAGAAAGCTGTAAACGATTCAATTATTCAAACGATGAAAAATCGATACGTAAGTTCTTCTTTTTTAATATTTAACAGTTAGATTATTATTTAGCTTCTGTATTGCGAGAAGCTTATATACTGTGCATATCGTTTCAAAAGGATTTCAGTGGAAGCAACGCGTCGGTCGTATTTTTAGCAAATAAGTTGCTAGTTCCGTTTCAATGTTTCTCAGCGTTACAATATTTATAGGTAGCAATGCACAGTGCTCGGCAAGGTATATTCGTAAACAAAATATCAACCGAGAAGAACTTTTCCTCCGCAGATATCTCACAGGATCTCTTTCCATTCCTCCGACCGATCGATGCTCCTCGAAACTCGGAAGTTGTCGCCTCTATTGATCTAAGAACAATAAAGGAACACCGCCCGAACAGACAATTCTAGCAGTTTCCTTGTTCGCGGGAAACTAGGCGCGGTCTTTATCAAACGTTATTACCGTCGCCTTTTCGAGGACGATCTTTCGTCACAATGAACGCCTCATTGGATCCAGGGTCTATAGAGATCGTCCGATTCGCCGATGTCGAAGTTGTTGATTCGATGTTGAAAAGGTAATCACTTCTGTGTCGCCCGCGGTGATCACTTTTGGTACGGTTGGTGGAAAGTAGCCTCATTGTGCGATAGAAATAAAATAAATAACGGATACATAGAAGTTACAGTATCAATATTATTTAGCAGTATTTAACCCCTTGCATTCGAAAGTTTTTCGATGAAAATATTCAACACTTTTTAACAAGATATAGGTGATATTGTTTGAAACTAACTTAACGATAATTCACAGATAAATTAAGCAACAAAATATTCATCAAATATTGGAATATGAAATATTCAACTTTAGTTTTGTTGTATAGAATCAAGTGGCGACTGAGAGTCACCTCTCGAGTGCAAAGGGTTAATAATCCAATAATAGTATCTAACAACTCGGTAACAGCATTGAATAATAATTCAAGGTAGATTCAATCAAATTCTCAGAAAAATCATTGCTTCGCTATTACAGTTTGTCTCAGGAGTTCGTTGCAAATTGTCGCTATTTTCAAACGTTTCCCTTTGTCCATTCGCCACAGAAAAACCGCGTAAAGGATGTCCGGAAAAACGAGTTCCTGTCCGCGATTCCTTCGCGAAGGATTCGGTTCCGACGTAGCCGCGGACGTACGACGACTTGTCACGACACCGGCCGTTTCCTGGTTCCAGTTAGTTTATCGTACCGGTACTCGGCCAGCTCTAATGACACCCGTGATCACGGTGTACCGTAATACGCTTATTAAAAGTATCCGCGTGAACCGCCGCCGTGAATTCGCTTTTTGTCCGGCGCACAGATAAACAGATAAAGAACACTGCGATCCTCTCAGGCCGATCCAAGAAGTGATCTATAATTTTCAGTGATTCACCGCGATCAGAAGTAATAATCGGAATCGGCCGGTATCTTATCCTCGACCTTAATATCAAAAGCCTCAATGGTTACGATTATTTTCCCTCGTATCGGCGACTCTTTAACGCTGCAACTACCAGAACGACTTTTGCCATTATTGGAAAAGCATGGGCTCTTTGAGAAACTTTGAATATTTTAGTTTAACCTTTGTCACCGCTGCGGCGAGATTGTAAGATGAATTGATAATTCAGTTCTCGATGAAACAACTTTAAAGTGCTTACGTTTTTAAAGTGACAAAGTAGCTCATAGTAAAAATGATTCATTGAAAGCTCTTATTAAAAATTGCTCCCAGTGCGAAACAGTTGAACAGATTATAATTTTCATAGTTTACAAGCAGTCCGATATTGCGCATGGAACTTTACAATTCGCTGCATGGGATCGGATGACAATTAAGACTCTCTTCTCGAGGGCTAAGGGCTAAGCAGTTCGACTGCTACTTCCAGTTTTAATCCGAGCTCCGAATAATCTCCGCCGCCGTGTCGCGGCGGTGTAAGCCAAGATTTTATCATCTTTTAAGTAACATCGTGTCTTATCTCACCCCGACGCGTCGAGTGGCAAACCAGCACCCATAAGAATCCCGTGTAATCGAAACCCCTTTCTTCTTCGATGAAAGAAGGGACGCGCAAGCGAATCTCCGAAGAAGTTGTTCTTAAAGTCTTCTTCACACGTTTCGCCTGTGTACAACATCAAAGACGTACTTCTAAAATCGTCTCGTTAGATAGAAAGAAGTGCCGCATACTTGAAAATTCATTCTTCCCCTGATAATTCGAATAATTTGAAACGAAGAACGTCAATTACAGCGCCGACGCGTTAAGTAGTCAGCTCCGGACAAATTGTATTTTCTGCTGTATCGCAGGTTCGCGATTATTTTCTGCCTCTACGAAAAGAAATCGTGTCACCCGTGTATGTAGGTGAAGCGGCGGTCGATCTGAAAGGTACAATGGATTCTCGGATGGAAAGAAAATCGAGGAACGCGGACGGGAAAGAGATTCCCCGGCCGACGTCGCGCTCAAAGCGAATTAAAAAAGATAACGACGGCCGTTCCGGCGGAAAAGTTGGAATGAAAATGAAATT